TAAGGTACACAATTTCAGTAAGTAAAAATGCCTTGTCGCTTTTATGATCCGTTAAGGGTTAATATAAACGATATACATTTTCTTATTTGCATTGCTAACTTTTGATTTCATTTGTATGATGTGCGAGTAGAACAACAAAAAGATTGAGAATTTCTTATGTTTCGTACATATACAATATAATTCTATGGAATTATTAGTTTTTTGTCTGTTTTATAACTATGGAATATTTCAGTTTAATTAGCCGATGCCCTTTCTTTCCAGTAAAATTTTTTTCTAACGGGTTTCCAGATATTGTACTAGTGCTACTAAATTAATGCACACATATATACGTTTGAATCTATGTGGCGTTTTAATGCGTGCCAACAACCTTGTGTTAAATCTATTTGTAATATTATGCACGGTAGAGAAAATTTCGTGGAACGTGACCTCTGATGGACCATCTCGAAGCGGTGACACGAACCGAGAGGGCTTTACCCTTCGTTCCCTCTTGGCTCGATATGCTAATGATTCATCATGTTTAAAGCGATACACGTGGATAGTTAGATTGTGAAATTAACGAATATAGTGTGCAAAAGTTTACAATGAAACGTATTTTTACTAGAAATATAGAGATCTCTGTGAGTTTTGTAATTAAAATATGTACTTAGATATTTTTAACTAAAACTAACAAATTTTGTTTTTTAATTTGACAATTTTAAGTGACATAGCTCTTAACAATTGTATGCATGTTTATATTATGTTGTACCTAGAAGAAGATGTGTTACTCTGAATATCAATGCATCGATAACAGAATAATTTGAAATAAACATATTTGGTGATTTTCCTTGCATTATAATATTATAATCCACTTGAAATGTAATATGTATCATTATCATTGTCTTATTGACATAAACACAGAAATTGACTTTAAGGGATTGTTAGTTATTGACTAGCAGTCGTAATAATAGTTTATCGTAGATGTCATGAAAACTGTTATCATTAAACGGAAATAAGTGAATACTTCTCTTTTTATTTAAATGCTGTGATTTCATAAGAGATTATTTTTTAACCTTACGCAATTTCATGAACGAATCATTAAAAATGCAATTTATCGACCTTTACAAAAACAAATTCCAAGATTAATACGTTGAACTTCATTCGCTTTTTCATTTACGGATACACTTATTAATTTTCGAGTATTATGATTCTACATTTAACAAGGGAATACAAACTAAGTAGTATCGATCAATTGAGTTTGACTCGCCGCCTGAGCTTCCTAGTAATTTCTGGGTAATGGACTAGATATCGCAAGATGATCCATGTCTCGGGTATTCCCAAAAAGTCAGCAATGTAAGCGAAGACTGGTTGTTCGTATAGAATACCCTGGTGACTGGGCTTACTCATCCGTCCGCGTTTCCATCGTACTAAGAATCAGGGATATCGGGAACACTGCTGTTGCTGCTCGTTTAATCGGTGACTAAACCTGCTAACCTGTTATTGAACTATACTGCTCCTATAATGAAAGAGTCGTGCAAAATTTTGCATATGTATGAACGATTGGTGCTGAATACCATGGTAGGGTATCGGAATGAAGACGTTTAGTGCTTCATGGCCGCTCATTGGTACCCTTGATATACTGATACTGGTTATTTGCATATAACGTGAAAGTTACCTCGATGAAATTATTCCTTCTTCGTTAAAAACTTTAATACTTTCTTCTACTCGTTTTTTCTTGGTTACTTTTTATGTTCTTGGTTTTTACACGCAAGGACTGATTAGGAAGTTACATTCTGAATTTAAGACTATTTATCAAATATTGTTAAAACTTTATGTTAATCTTGTCCTTAATTATCATGTCGGCAGTATAACGGATACTTTAGCAGGCTTTCTCAATTTTGTTTTAAACGTAAAATAGATAATTAATTTCTCTCATTTTGTATGGCTAACAAACACTATGATTATTAATAATCATATTTACTTAATTTAATGTAATTTTTATATTTCTTTCGAAAGTTGGTTCTGCTTTACTTGATTTTTAAACTTTTACTCGTACGTGGACATTTAGTTTTTTATAATTTGATAACCAATGGCAGTATATACGAACGTTATTTTTTTTAATGTGTATTATCGATGCGGTAGACATTGTTTTATTCAACTTTTTTCCATTTAAAACAAATAAGATATAATTACATAATAAATTACATTCTTTCTGTTTCCCAGATTAAAAAGATCATTCTGGAAGAGGTTAATCATAAAACTTCCAGTTCGCGTATGACATTTTCATGTATTATCCAGTTGACTCTCATATACCATTAGTGGTGCGCATATCCCTGATCAACAATCGTTGCTGTATAGTATATTTGTTATTTTTTTTAACCGACTTCGAAAAAGGAGGAGGTTACTCAATTCAATCA